TTTTTTTTTTTTTTTTTGAGGGCGACAGGCAAAAATCAATGCGCGCCCGGATGTCATCCATAAAATTAAGTCAGTGTGGCCTTACTTTAAATGATATCTCATACCTCTATGAAACCATGATGCGTACTAGTCACAGCTATAAAAAGGTTTGACAATTAATCTCTCATGGAAAAAGGGCTACATTTGCCAAGACTACTGCTGATGCAATGTAACCCGTTTGCATTTGCCTTTTGCAAACCCTTTTTTTTTGGTGCAATGGGAAAACACCAGCTGTCAAGGAGGTCATGTAATGAAAAACACAATGTAAAGCTGAAGTGATTAAGGACTTTCTCACACTGGGATGCAACCATATCCATTACATTCTGACCAGGCAGAAACACAGACACACACAGACATACATACAAAAATACCTCCATTTTCCATACTACATGTAGGAGAATAATCTTCCTTAAAAGAGAGTCTATACAGTGTAGGATGAGGATGGCCTTTTAGAATTATTTCTGGAATTTCTAACGTCTGGACAGTTTGAAATACTGCTTTACATGTGCAATGTTGTCACATGTCAATATATACTTAAATATGCTATCTAAATTCATTGAAAGAAATCCATGTATAACGTTATAGAAGATTCCAAATTTGTACTGAATATAAAATATGGGCTCTAAAACTACTCTAATACGTAGGTTCAGCTTCCTTTCGTCTCTAAAACGTGTTTGACAGTGTTTTAGAATGAAGAGCGCCAGACTGGTACTTCAAATAGGCCGTACTGTGGCCACCAACAAGTGTGTATAGTGCGGATGGCATGTTCAGCACCAAGGAGAGGTCCACTACACCTTATAACAATACGGACTGCTCCGTTGTATTCTGACGGTTCTCGGCGAACCGCAGTTCACTAAAACAACTCGTTACAAATTGTTTCAACACTTAGCGACATTGAAAAATCGTCATAGATTTTTGTTTTGTTTCTTAGCTTTGTTTTTTGGTTGTTTTTGTTTGTACTATGGCGGCATTCGTTCGTTCAACCAAGGTTATAACATTGGTTTATCGTGAAGCTAGCAGCTTAT